ATAACTCTAATAAATCGTGCATGCGGTACGCAAATTTAATTAAAGTGATAGAAATGAAGCATTCCGTCTTGATTCAGATCGACAGGGTACCCAAATCTTGTCAAATTCCACACCAAGTGAATTATGTGAAAAATGATTTTTAGGAATATATAGGATGTTAACAAAAGTGGATTGTGCATTTTATATTTTAAATCCTAATTCATTATATAAAAAAACATATCTGGGGTCCCTGTGTCACGTCTCATTCCCAAGAATTCTCTGCTTACCTTTTTTCAAAATGCCGTATAGACAAAGGACAGGCATCGATAACTCACGTGACGCACACTATAGGTGGTAGGTGAGTATGGAATACCGCTAAATGCAGGCTCTCGAAAAAAACATGGTAAATAATAAAATTAAAAAAAGAATRTAACTAGACGATCACAGATCGCTTACATGGGCTTCCTCAACAAGACAGTGCATTCGAAGATCGAAATGCATTGTTGGTCGTTGTATTGATGTTCACTAGTAGTTTTTGTGACTATATCACCATTGTACGGTCAATAATGACTTCAATGAAAAGCAATTACGTATATTTAGAACATTAAATAAAATAATACTTTTAATTGGTAGAGAGGAGTACCAATTTCTAAAATATGCTTTTAAGATAATTTTCAACACGTCTTTTTGATGTATTTTAGTTTCTATCAACAAACTTTATGGAATGAAAACCATCAAAGAAAAAAGTTCGAATGAACGCGCATTATTATTGTCGTAGCGTGTCTTTTGTATTAAATATATATTAATCACTCACCAATGAATGTGTATCCGAAAGGGAAATGGTSCCYTCTGGCGTTCCCCAGGGAACCAAACTGGGACCCTGGCTCTTTATCATTATCATCAATGATCTCAGGTCAGTTGACGGCTCTTCCTTATGGAAATACGTCGATGACACGACGATCTCAGAAGTCATCCCAAAAGGTAAAGCCAGTATCGCCCAAAACTTTGTAGACAAAGTGGAGGCCTGGTCTTCTCARAACAGATTCCAGCTTAACCCYGACAAGTGCAAAGAAATGCGTATCTCCTTTTCCAAGAATAACGCTGACTTACCACCATTGGTCATTAAYGGTCAAGCCCTTGAAGTTGTCCAAAGTGCRAAACTTTTAGGCGTCACCATTACGAACAATCTTACATGGAATTTACACGTCGAAGGAACTATAAAGAAAGCATCTAAACGGCTTTATTTTCTTAGACAGCTTAAGAGGGCAAACGTTCCCACACCAGATTTACTAAGATTCTATACAAGTTGTATTAGGTCAGTCGTTGATTATGCTGTACCAGTCTTCCATTCTTCCTTACCCAAGTACTTACATAATGGCATTGAAAGGATTCAAAAGAGAGCTTTCGCCATTATCTACCCTCATTTAAGTTACGGAGAGTCATTAGCTTTACTGAACACGCTCCCTCTTTTCGACCATCACAGTTCTATTGGCAGCTCATTGTTYGATAAAATCGTTAATGACCAGTATCACAAACTTCATCATTTAGTGCCTCCACGCCACGAAGCAAAGTACGAACTCAGGAGAACAAGGACATTCAACACTAAGTTCAATACCAACAGAGCAAAGAATTGTTTCGTCACCTTTCATAGCAATTCCTTTAACAATAATAAAATGTGAAGTAACTAGTGTATATAGTACATTGTATAGGTCCCTTTATAGGTTTTATATAGTCCTTTTATTCTAATTAGTCTAATTCTTACATTGTATATAGTCTTTTAATCAACTAGATAATGTATATTATAGTTTTATTATTGTCATTATTATTATTATTATCACATATTTTTTTAGTTAGTATTGTACGCAATTKAGCAATTTTTGCTACCATGTCCATAAATAAAGCTTCTATTTTCTATTTCTATTTAAGTTGAAGTAATCAGAAAGTAATTGTTGAAGTTCACGGATGTATAGGAAAGGGTTTCTGGAATAGTAATCTATTCAGCAACACTCCCATTCATGCTCAGTTGAATTAAGTAATGGGATAAAATTTTTAGTCARCGGCCTAAGCCAAGCTGGTGGGTCGTTTTAGAGCTCCTTTTCCGCTGAAAAAAACTGAGCAAGAATGAATATAATTGTTCAAACTCCATTTATACTCCCTTTATTGCGTAAATCCCGTGCACATGACACCGCACGCCCATTAATAACGCCGTATTGTAACTTATTTCACTTTGCATATCATTAGGAGTATTGCGAATAGTATAAAGCTGTATGGCGACGAGACCATCCAACGTGGTCCATGATCTCAGACAGTTCTGCACCTTTAAGGGCCAACGTAATTGCGCAGCCTRAGCGGAAGCCATGAAGTGTCTCGCCATCATCCATACCCATTTCTTTMAAATAAACCTTCAGTCTAGCCTCCGCGGTCGATGAGCTCAAGGGGGCGTCCTGAATACCGCCCTTGGGCGTTGTCGGTCGAAACAGGTAACCATGCGTCAGGTCAACTTTCATTTGGCTCGCAACTTCGATGTACTGCTCAATACCACGAATGGGGCAGATGATTGTTTGGGGATTCCTATGTATTCCAAAGACATTACTGTCCCCATCCCTGAGAGTTTTTCCCCAGATATGGTTGAAHAGGAACCCGTCGTCATTTGGAAATCGGAGGATCTCAGGTACTTTCACTTGCCCCAGATCACCGGGACGATCCCCACTAAAAAACGCCGTTTTAAAGTACGCCTGATCTCTTGCAATGATAAAACGCTGAATTGGTGACTTGGTACTCTGTAATTCACGTTCCAGATAACTCGMAGCTGTGTCAGCTTACTAAAAAGAATGTTTTGTATGATAGCGTTAACGGACATCCACACGGATGGCGGCCACGCTGACCTAGGCATGAGCAAGCATTTTTATGGACTTGCGTTTTACCCGCTCTGTCTTTAAAGACGAGAAAGCGGCAGACATCACGTGGTGTTACAGTTGCAACAGTCACTGAGCCTGGGAGCGCCGCAAAGAAGTTTTCRAGCTCCTTCTGAARGGAATCTTTCTGCTTAGAGTAACTCGTTGCTTGATCATAGTTTCTCAACTCTTGAAGGCGCGCATCAACTTCATCGACATTGAACCCTTGTAATATGTGTGAGTTTTGTCTTTCAACTATTAACTTCCTTCTATACCCACACTGCTGACAGAACCTGAAGTCAATATCATTTGCACGAGAGCAGGTCGGGCACCTTACCAATGGCACGAATAGCTTAGCCATGAGAGGGAGTTCCTAGACAACATACTACTTACTACCAAAACAGGTAGAGTGACAATCGCGCCCGACAATTTACAATCGCTGATGACGTAAAAGATAACGATGTGTGATCACATTCCTGAGTCAACGCGAACACATTCCTGACTGACTAGATCGAAATGGCGGGAATTTCACTATCAGTGAAAGGTAGAACGTATTCTCGTGGAAAGGCTGCCAATGAAGATTTAAGAACCATTATAATCGACAGCATTATCAGCGATGGAGGAGATATGGCTACTGGTTATTTTGGAGGTAGTTTCAAAGATATTGCAAATATGTACCACGTATCCGAAACTTTTGTTGCCAAGATCTGGAATCAAGTCTGTSAAACATTGGATCACTTGCCGTCAAAAAGGAAATCTGGTAATCCGCCACATCTACAACGAGAAAATATTGACCTAGTAGAACTTTTAAAGCTAGAAAATCTATCCAAATCATACAAGTCAATCAAAGAAAATATCTATAGTTATTGTAATGTAAACGGCGGTACTTCGTTAACAGCGAYTGGGAATGTTGTGAGAAATAAGCTATCTGAAGGCCCATTTACCAGAAAGCGACTCGCTAAACCGTCGCAAAATAAGTTTACGCCAGTGAGCTTGAATTATTGTCAAACCTCCTGGATACAATAAGCACACTACCTCCTGAAAGTTTGAAATTGTTTGATRAAGCAGGAGTTCATTCCGGGTCTGGGAATTTTGTGTACGGACACTCACTTCGCGGAACACACGCCATCGAAATATCGAAGAACAGAAAAGGCGCAAATGTCACTCGAAATCTACTCTGTGGTTTGGAAGGAGTTCTTTACGCTAATACTGTAGGGCAAGCTATGACTGATTATGGCAATSCAGMCATTGAGTTTGGTGACTATATCATTTTAGATAATTGCGCAATTCATCGTTTTGAAGCTGCTCAAACGCTGCATAGATGGCTAATGCTTAGAGRTGCAAACCTTATACCCCTTCCCTTTCTCCAGAATTTAATGCTGCTGAGTATTGCTTTAACAAAATGAAAGTTACTTTAAAAAGAGAGGAATTTGCGCCTATACTTAGGCAGAATGTACATGCCGCCATATATCAATCTCTTGGACACATTAATGTTTCAGACATGTATGGCTTCTACAGCAAACTTTTGATATAAAAATTAGGTAACACCTAACAGCGGAGCTCCAATAGCAATATAGAAGCTGAAAATGATTATCTAGTACTGCTATTTCAAAGGTAGATGGTCTAGATGCTCTGTTCCAAGGAATGTGAGCTACAACAGTTTTGTTGACATGCGAACAAATATTATAAAGAGTATGTTTATGAGAATTTAGTTCGTACTAATATTGACTTCGGTAGATTTTGTTCCGTTGGATGAAGTTTAAAATTATAATCTATAAAGGTCAATTGATTAAAAGTAAACTGAAAGCTTCTCGGCAAAAAGTAGTCTACATAAGATTACAATAATCAACATTGTTTCAATAATCGATGTTTGAACCCGGACTACTCGAACTTCACATATCACAGAAAACTGTATACAAAAATATATTTTATACCTTCATTATCGAACTTCCGATAAATTATCGTTCAAAGGTCATCTTCAACAGAGCCATACTTGTTTCAAGCATAGGTTTCATCAATTTATTTTAATAAATTGATTTATTTTAATAAATTGACTTAAAAGTCATTCAAGACTGTAGATTCTTTGTTTTTAATCTTAAAANCTTGTGATTAATTGTTCTAATATTATCAATATCAATATGTAATATAAATGTTTAAGGAAAAAATTTCGATTTTTCAACAAATACTTGGCACTTTGTCTCCTTTTCGAGCGGAGTATGGGTTTCCTGTGGTGGTACACGGAATCCAGGGCGGACGGAAGGAAACGTGCGTACGCGCGGGAACCCTGTGTCGGTCCATGGAAAATCGACTCGATGGTATACCATTTTTTCTCATTATATATATATAGGTAGGGGATATTTTTTAAAACCCATTTATAATGCATTGTGACACTGAATAAAATAAAAGTAGACCATTTTTTTGAGTAAAATTTTATTTTTAACTATTAYAGGTTCAAAGTCACTGCTTGGGCTCCCTGTGTTTTTTCTTAGCTATGGTGCTCCAAAGGCCCGCGCGGGAGCTCCGCTATGATTTATTCAACAACAATACACAAGCATTTCTCTTATTCTTAATCAGACTATTATAAATTTGTAACTAAATAGAAGTCACAATTACTCGGTGATAAGTCACTAGTTTATAGTTCATTTCATTATGATTCCATTTCTGACTAGCGGCTATAAAGTTAACACGTTTTTCAAAATAAACTCAACAATCTTTCTTTCTTTTTACCAAATAGGAATAAAAAGCTTCGTTCGTATTATYAAACTACTCATCTAATTAAATGTGAATGTACTAGTAATATAACAGTACATGTCTGAATGTAAACAACATAACTTTCAAAGTCATTAAATAGTGTTCAATTTTCACCTCGTAGTTCACTTCACTGTTCTATTGTTTCTATTTATTGTTTTCATTTGTGGTACTTGAGTACTTGTACTTGAAGATGGCCAAACTATTCYTTTTAGCTCCCAAAGTGTAAGAATAGGGTTCCCATCACGAGCACTACAGCCACCTGTTGTCTGTAATTTAGAGTTGTACTCATCGAGCGCTGCGCTTAAACTGATCTCTTCACAGGTTGCCCAAGCACTGGACTTGGCAAGTGCCGGGAACGCAAAGTTCAATAAAAGTGGTAAAACTGAATAAAATTATTCAAACCTCGACAAAAGACTTAATACATATCTGATTACATTATGGTAAACTTTCCCCTACAGTATATATTGTGATCATATATATATATAAGGCCGAAGTGCCGAAACGTTCATTAAAAAGTAGAAAATCTAGTTACAAGTTGCGTGGCTTTTTCTTCATTTATTCTATTTATATCATATCATAATATATATAAGTAGGGGAAAGTTTACCTTAATGAGCTAAAACTTCACAGTGGTGTTGAGAAAAATAAGAAAAACACTATGTTGTAGTTTGAAATAATTTTATTCAGTTTTACCACTTTTATCGAACTTTTCGTTCCCGGCACTGCCAAAAGTCCAGTGCTTGGGCTACCTGTGATCTCTTCGCCGGGAATTTTTCCTTTGAAATGTGCTTGTAACTTCTTTAAATCTTCGTTAACTTGTTTCCAATTCTCTAGTCCWTGTGAATTGAGGTAGCGATGAGGTATTTCATTGATTAAACGAGTGCGCATAAGCTTGCCAAATGAATTAGCTTGCTGGTCGAAAATCCACTTTGAAAATATGATCTGTATACAGATTTCGAACTCAAAGGAATGTAGCAACGGTCAAATTTTGCCTCCCCCCCTATACAAGTTGATCAGAGGCAGTTATCTCACGTGATCACACACCGCTATCTTTTACGTCATCAGCGATTGTAAATTGTCGGGCGCGATTGTCACTCTACCTGTTTTGGTASTACTAGTCTTTTTTTTGTAATTTTATTACATCACTAAGTTATACATATATGTTATCTAATTGTCTGATTACACTTCTATTACATCTTCAAGGTAGCTGTCACTTCGATTTCCTAAACTTGATTAATTAATTATTTTCCCTGGTAGCCATGTCTACCCAGAAAAAGTATGTTTCTACACTTAAATGTTTGCATCTATAATGTCTAGAACACAACGAARAAAGCCCACAGGTCTCCTGGGATACCCGKGTGGYGCACCCATCCTTTCTTAGAYGGCGATAGCAACGCAGTACAGCTTCCCTTTGACGCTAGTTTGTAGGACTTCTGAGAATCGGTATTGCAGGATCGGCCACCAATATTTCCTTGGGTAGATATCGAGCACAATAATGGTGCATGGTTGTTTGTGGCCTTCTAAGAAGCGTAGCAATGGCCCAACTAATGACAGTGGAGGGAAGACATAAGCTCTTCGAAGGATTTCTGGATGCCGACTCAAGTCCTGTTACAGTGACAAAATATTCATATCTATCTTATTTTGGAAAAACACAATTGCCGCCATTATGATAAAGGTGTATTGGTCGGACGAGAACAATCCAATCGGACGTGCACCTTTCCATTGACCGTTGACCGATGAGGATTATGGGGGTACCGATCGTTGATTTGAGCATACGGCTACGAAAAATTTGCTTTTCAAATTGTTTTACCCTGGGGATTTTCTGGTTAGAAAAGCTCTAGACTCCAATGTTATGAAAGATAGACGAGGCAAGCCACTACCACATTTCACTCCATATCCCACCCGACGATCCCGAGGTGAAGGATAAGATAGATATGAATATTTTGTCACTGTAACATCAAAGAACTATCAGAAATAAACGTTTTTGGAAAGTTTTAGAACTCTGCACAAAATAGGAAAAAAGTTACGGTGAAATAAAAATACAAAGGAATGTAATTTTCCACCAATGGCTGTCTGTCTATTTGTTTCTGAATATGAAATATGTGAAAACTTTGTCACTGTCATGTGAATGAACTACCAAAAATAAACATTTTTGGAAAGTTTTACAGCCCTGGATAAAATRCGAACAAAGTTATGGCGAAATGAAAATACAAAGAAATGTATGTAATTTTCAGTCAAGGCCTTTATAGCCTCGTTCTGGTGTTATGATATATTTTAARTCCTTATAACTTCACCAGAATTTAATATTTTCATTTCAAACTTTTACATGTTGTTATTAGCACAGGTTCCTATCAGCTGTTAGTTTACTTTGACTAAAATTCKAAATTTTAAAAATTTATGTTAATTAGATGGCGGCCATTATGATAAAGGTGTATGGACGTGCGCCTTTTATCGACCGATGAGCGATGAGGATTATGGGGGTTCCGATCGTTGATTTGAGCATACGGCTACGAAAAATTTGCTTTTYAAATTGTTTTACCCTGGGGATTTTCTGGTTAGAAAAGCGATCTGATGACTTGATGTTGTTATGTGTGGAAAGGGAATTTATCGTTCTAAGAGGCTGTGAGGTCGAAATTTGCTCGAGTTGAGATTTCAGGTGAGAAAATGTGAATTGTTTGGAGTCGATCGCTTTTCGGAGTTACCAACCTTTAGGAGGGACCTTTAGGTAGTATTTATTATCTAGGGGACCAAGAGCTGAAACTTCACATAGATGTGAAATAAATTAAGAACAACATATTGTGTGAGTTTSAATTCATTTTATGAAGATTTCCTACTTTTATTGAATTTTTCGTTTTTCCCCTCAATACCTTCAGAGAAAAGCCGACAAGTGTAGTGCTTGGGCTACCTGTGCTCGAAGCCGATCAGAGTCTTCGCGACAGCAGTGCACTCTGGGTACTGTAGCATACATCGCGGGCTCGTCAATCAGAATACCATAGCAACAAAATAACCAATCAGCATATTGAAGCTGTTGCTATCCCGCAACTGAGGATAACAAACGCAACATGGCTTGTTCATAATCTCTTGGAAAACATTCGATTTGAAGCAATCCTGCATCAATTCAAGTAAAATGACCATAAAGGAACTTGAAGAAGAATTGAGTGAATGCGATGGTGAGCTTAGCGTTGCCGGAGAGAGCGATTGTGAGCCAGAAAGCGCTGGCGACGCTTTTGATTCCTCTCAAATGCCTGTTGCTGGGCAAGAKATAGACTCGCTAGATTCCTCGAAAAAAACTAAACCTAAAAAGAAGAAGAAAAAGTAAGAAACATTTCACCACTTATTCAATATAATATGGATATGAATTCTAACTGCAAATCGTATTTAACTCGTTTTTAGGTGGCTAAGTATTTGTTTAACGAACTGTAAATATGATAGCGGTAAGTGACATAAGCTTATTAATAAAAATTTTGTTAAAAATTTATTTACCATTTGAATATKGATTGTCATTAATCGTAAAACGTAAATTTCTTTGATTGTAGTTCGTCGCGTGTCAAAGCGATTTGGGATGAAAGACGTAGGAGAAGAAGAAGATTGGTCGTTGATGTGGTCCGATTCTTCGATTCCTTTCGAACGTTGCATCGATATGAAGAGATATCAGGTATAAAAGCGGCATTCAAAAAGTTCAGCTTCTGTTAAGCATTCTTGTGTAAATTCTTATTTTCGGATAGCTATTCCATTATAAAAAAGTGTCAGTTATTGGTTGATAAGTGCATTTGTTTCGTTTGAAATCCTGTTCTTATTCTTAGCGTTGTTTGCCAATTATTTTTACTATTGCAGTGGATCACAAATACATAAAAAGTGAACAACTGACAAAGCAAGATTTTGAGCCGTATAAAAACATTTTCAATGTCTTAACTATGGACATCAGGGACATCCGAGACTCTTATATGGTTAATGCTATGCCAAATATTTCAAAGAGCTTAGTTTTGATTTGTGAAGTATTCCACTAGTTTAGCACATGACTAATGATGGCAGAGATACATACTGCAAAGTAATTCAGAATGTTTCTTTTTAGAAAATAAATCATTTTCCTGGGATGAGTGAAATTTGCAGGAAAGATTGTTTAGCAAGAAATATGAATAGACTGTGGAAACAGTTCCCAAAAGATTATGCTTGCTTCCCAAGAACGTGGTGTCTTCCTTCAGAGTAAGTTTGCATAACTTATAATATGCAAGACATTAATTCCAGTTGCTTGACTGTCTTAATTTCAATAGGCATAGGTACATAGTGCACATTTTTCGTACAAAGCAAACAGCTAGTATACTATCATCCTTGTAAATGTAACTGATGCAATACTCAGAGTGTTAGTGAATTGTGGGTCTTAKTTATGGATATGACTTGTATCTTATCATGAAGATGGTGATAAAGATTGTCCATTGTAAATCAGCCTTGCTAACAATAAATTTTCCAAGTGTCAAAAAGATTGCCTATACATGTGCTGTATCTTTTTTATGAAAAGAAAAGAATTATAAAGACATGGTAATTCTGAAAGTCTATAGCGCTCCATTTTTCATGTTTTAACTTATAATTTTTTTTGTACAATATACAGCTATGGTGATTTACAAACATTCTGCCGACAAAAAAAGAATAAAACATATATAACCAAACCAGAGACTGGAAGCCAAGGCCGTGGTATTCAAATAATCAAAAACCCAAAGGAGTTAAAGCCAGGGGAACATATGGTTTGCCAGCAGTACATATCCAAGCCTTTTCTTATTGATGGTTTTAAGTTTGATTTGAGGATTTATGTACTTGTGACATCATGTGACCCGTTGAGGATATTTCTTTTTGAAGATGGACTGGCTAGATTTGCTACCATACCATATAGTGAACCACAAAATAACAACTTGGTAAGATGATTATCTGCATGTATGCTAATTGTTGATAAACACTTTTGGAAGTCTTACAAATCATATATTGCATGTACAATGTTGATGTACTCATTKTATGGACCAATGATAAATTAGTGCTTTATGAAATTATTCACATCAATTATATGAAAGCAATGGCGGATCCAGGGGGTTCCATGGGTTCCAAGGGGCCCCCCATCAAGCATAAAAAAAATAAAAAATAAAATTAATGATAAATGAAATAAAATGAAAACGTATCGTACTAATGAATTTTTATTAAATACATTCACACTACATTTGCTACAGTTCGAGAGGCACAGTAAAAAGTTCGTTTTAGGAAAATGCAAAAACAAAATGGAACCCCCCTTTGAAAAATCCTGGATCCGCCACTGAACAGTGATTTGATTCATATTGCTCTGTTTCAGGATGATATTTGTATGCATCTTACAAACTACTCAATCAATAAACATAGTAAAGATTTTGTTAGAGATGAGGAATCTGGAAGCAAAAGGTACGATGGAGCTGCAAGTCCATATGTKGTGTGTCTTTTGTTTAGAAAGCTATAATGCAGTAAGAAGAAWTTCAATTACAGAATTTGCAGCAGTGTGAAGAAATCGTATGGTTGATTTTCGAGATTTTCGATTATTCATTGATGAGTCAACATGAAGCCAACTTCAATAATTGATTATTCCTTGCAAAGTGACACTTTTTACATGTGTATTCCCTTAATTGTTCACATTTTGAATGTTTGAACAATTCAACMAGTCAAGGATATATATTACCTATTAATCTTTAATGATTTATCTAAAATGCAGACGTCTTACTACAATTAATAAGTGGTTTGAAGACAATGGGTATGATATCAAGATGATATGGCGTCGCATTGAGGTTTGTATGAATCAAGCTATTACAACTAACACTTATGAACTATTTTTTACTATTATAATGGTTTTTCTTTCATATCTTGACTCACTGTCATCTGTAAATGTAGTGATTGTGACTTCAAGTGTTTACTACCTGAACTCCATTTAATCATTGTAGGATGTGATTATCAAGACATTGATAACAGCTCACCCAACCTTAAAGCACAACTACAGGACATGCTTTCCAAATCACAACAAAGGCAGTGCGTGCTTTGAGATTCTTGGCTTTGATGTTTTATTGGACAGGAAGTTGAAACCATGGATTATTGAGGTAACAATAAAAGCAATATAAAAAACCAATTCATGTTGTGTTCTCTACCTTTATCAATATTTATCTTAAAATTCATTAACAATTCATTAGGTAAACACACACAAAAAAATCATTGCCGTGACCAAATTTTAATAYGATATGAAAAATCCCACATGAATTCCTCAAAAAACACAGAGAGAACCTGGACTTGAATTTTCATAATACAACTGCGATGATTRGTCAAGTGATTGAACCAATTACAAAACTTTTAAAAGGAAAATTTATTTTTGGCAGGAATTTCTTCTTTTCCGTTTATTTCTTTATTTCTCGTTTATTTAACCAAAATTTTACTTACATTATTTATCACCTACATTGTAACCTTGTTCAATCATTTATCCTACTGAATAACGTACAATAATTACAATAACAAAAAACAAGATAATAGTATTTCATAAGAATAGTTGTTATTAATGCAAATTTATTCTCTTCACTTTTTTGCACTATTTTTGAAAAAAATCACACTTTTTTGCACTAATTTCATTTTTGTTCGCGCACTCTATCAGATGCTCTGTATTAAGCAAAAATATAAAAGACTCACTTCCTTTAAAACTGCTCACAAGTGGTTTGCAGATTTAAACRGCGTGCCCATAAAGGTCTCCTACTTATGTATTGTAAATTGCATAATAATATTAAGTTGTTTCCACTTTTTTTTCTTTTTTCATGTAACACTGTATACATTCTCTTCCCACATCGTTCATTATTGTACAACAGCTTTAGCTTTTTTCTTTTTAAATTACCTTTCAGGTCAACTTGTCACCCAGTTTTTCTACTGACTCTCTTCTTGACAAAGAGATCAAAGAAGGTCTTATCCATGATGCTTTRAACTTAGTTAACTTTGGCGCTTGTGACAGAAAAAAGATCATTGAAGAAGATAGAAAGAAAGTTCGGGACAGACTTCTGCAAAAGCAGAAACCTAAAGAATCCAAGTGAGTCTGTGATGTATTATTGTAAATGCTTTGAAAAATGTTATATTATCAAATAAACAATATTTTATTGATTTAGGAAAAGTATAGTAATAAGATCATTTATCGTATAATTATCTATGAAATACCCATATTTCTCCATTTCGTGAAATTGATATTTTCAYTAGTGAAAATAAAAATTTGAGGTTTCTCTATATAATGCAAGTAAGAAAAAAGGTATTTATACGACACAATTTGCTTTCATATACAATAATATGATAAATAGAATATTACATGTTCGCTTGGGGATAYGAATTTTATCTTCTYGTGAGAGATCTTTTCAACACTCGAAGATAAAATCTSTATCTCCACGCRSCCATGTAATATCCTCTATATATGTAATATTGCTTATCCGTTCCTTTGTATTTAGACGTGAGGAATGTATAGAAAACCAGGGTCAGAACACTGAGCAATTGAAAAAATTTGAAGACAARAATGTGGGAAGATATAGGTGAGGACTTTCACAAAATGCTGTSTGTWCTATTTGACTTGCGATGATAGAGCAAACATGATCATTTTGTACAACAAAGAATCATGGGAAATGTATGTCCTTGCATTGAAATAGTCTGCCATATCCGTTTTTATGTTTCCTTTATAAAGAAAYTTTTTTTACAAAGAAAACACAAAACAGATTTTATTGAGTATTTCAATCGATAAAACATAAGGACCTCAAGAAAGTTTCGTCCCTGCACGTTTCCTATTGAAGAAATCAATAACTGATGCGATTTTTGGATTGTCTGATATATATGAATGTCATCCAAAATTTCTGAATAAATTTTAATGTATAAAATTTCATTTCCATTATGAAGAACAGGCAATTTTCACATTTTCAAAGTGAAGGAGTCAAAAGGATTAACATAACTAAATGATACAAATCAACTAATTTAAACACTTGTCAATTAATATTTCAGGCGCATCTACCCTGAAGACAATGAAGAAAAATATGTTCAATTCTTTGAAAACAGTTGCTCTCTTTTCCAAGAAACTACAGCCTCTAAAGCAAGAATAGAGTGTGCAAGGTTTGTAAAATGCTCGGCAATGTGTTCCACTTTAAGGAACATTCGGTTATTGGATTCACCAAAAGGTGTGCATGGTAACTCTCTACAACACAAAGTCCTTAGCAAGCAAATATTTGATGAAAATAAGCGAAACGTCAAGTGGAAGTTTTTGTTTCTAGGAATCCCCTAAGCACTGCTATTGTCAAAGAGTATGGATAATGATAATTTAACAGCAATATTTATTTCAGAATCCAACGAGAGCAAATCCAAGCAAAGCAAGAACTTGACATCGCAAAGCAGAAAAACTCMAAGAACTCCAGAGTAGCTAGGCCAGAAAGTCCTCATGGAGGAAGATCGTCGATAAGAAAGCCACCTATCAGAAGGTCATATCAGCCAAGGAAGAAGACTGAACAGGTAATTTAGCTTTTTTAAAGGGGATGGTGGAAGGGGTATTTAAGCATTTGGACATTTTGTATACCAATAGAAAGATTATCACCATCACGTACAGAAAGTTAAGAAAATTTGTGTTGCATTTTTAGGAGCTGAAGAAAAGCAGTTCAAGTGACTCTTTAGACACGAGTAAACCTATTGATATTTTAGAAGAAGAAGAGCTAGAGAGAATAACATTGCTACTGCAGAGGGATAATCTTATTCGTGGTTTAGGCGTGGTGGAATTTGTTTATAAGCTTCTACATTGTACTCCTGGCACTGGAGGACCACAGAAAAACTGCTGCTTTCACGATAAGGTAACCACGTTCTTACTATCTGTTTATGTAATTTTGTTCGTKAGGGTTATTTTATTAGTGAGGACTATCCTCGAGCCTAGTTTCCATAAGACCTTTTCTGAAATACWAAATCATGGTGCATTGTGGTCTACATTGTAGCTTCAGTACAAACAACTCCATATTTGGCAGCATGAACAAAAGATGTTTGTGCCGAACCTAGACCACAATGCAAACTGCTATCTCAAAAAAGGCCTATGTAATCGTCCCATTTGCGTTAAAACATGMGCAAACAGTACAGTTTTCAAATKACCTGTTCCWACATTTTCTCTAAACGTACGTTTCGTTGTGTGTTTTTCAGGAGGTTAACGAAAAAGCAGACTCGTCTATATCTCAAAGATCAATGAACTCGTTTCCCGCGACGCTGGGTATGACAAGTGCTGGAGGCTCGTCAACGCATCCTAGTACCTATAGTAGACTATCCCATCAAACAGCACATCTAACAAACGCTGTTAACGTCAATTCTCTACAGCAACATACAACTATGTTAAATCGAAATGATCGACGAGCACTTGGAGTTACTCCAGGGTACAATGGMGGTAATTTAAAGCATCGCTTGGGAACACGAAGGGCTGTAACTAAGGCACCAAATATGCTAGGGACCGATGTAGAATGGCGGCCTAACTATGACGAAGCAAGGCTGTATGGTCAAGTGTTTGACACGCGAAGCGAAAGCCAACCGAGTGCGGGAGCTAAGCTAAGATCTTTTAGTGCAARTGGGTCAAAGCTGCACGACTCACCAAACGGTGCACGGGCTAATCCGCGAGTCGCAAACACAAACGCTGCGGGATCACTTGGAAGCAACTTATCCAGTTCAGGAGGTACTCCATATAATGTGAGCCAGCAGTATGCGTGTACAGCGTTCCCGTATCCTAATATAACTAAGGTTACACCACATCAACCTGTATCTATAGGACTGTCTGTCATATCAGGACSGGCACCTATAATGAATAGACCTGATGGGGCCGTAGGGGATCATGGGCTACCTCCTAGAAAACCCACCAATGGTTTATCCAATCAAGGAAGGTAAGGAAGCCAACAAATTGATATTTACATCTAATTGTAGCAGTTTCAGTATGATTTTTGTGGTTACTCCCGTTCTTTTTTGTCTGTTTTTTTTTTGCCTGTTTATGTGACGATCTCTTAGAGGTGTTTTCAAGGTATTTGCGAGACAGCAATCATATGTCGACAATTATACTTTTTCAGGGTGACTAAAGTCCATCGTGCAAGAGAAGCGCCGAATACACTTAGATTTAAGGTAAGAACAATAGTTACCAATAGTTACTTCATCAAATTTTGCATAATATCCCACTTCCGTAAGATGCAANTAGAATAAGTTTTGAGCTAGTCGTACGCAAGCGATGTTCCGGTGATGGGAACCCTTTGTCATTAAGTCCATCATTCCATCATTTGTTGAATATTCGCTCATTAAATCGTCCAAGATAATCAATCCAGGTGTCTTATCGAAGAGAGAATAAATATCTTCAGGAAACCCCTTGACAAACGTTAAATTAGGTATCTCTTTTTCCATGATAAGAAATCGAGGTTGGAATTCACCATAACAATAAACAATCCGTTCGATTTTCTGATCAAACATCTCATCTAAATTTCTTAATAATCGTTCACAAAATGTTGTTTTCCCACACCCGCTTGCTCCACAGAGCACCATAGAACAGGGAAATTTGAATCGAACATCCATATCACTCAAAGGTTGACCGATAAGTGACATAAGCGTGTTAGCATGTTTACTTTTATGTCTCGCCGCTTGCAGCCAGGGTTTTCTTTCCTCCGAACTCAATAAATGCACATCTGCCAAATGATTAGACAGTTTGATTAAACTCCGAGAGTGACACCCTGGGATAGGACAGTCTTTTGGCCTCAGCATGTTGGTGAGGATTAAACGAAATGAAGGATACGAGTCAACCTTGAGATCTTAACGGACCAACCTCTTGGAATGAAAATAAACTTTAGACAATTCATTATCAATTTAAGTTGAGGCGGATTTCAGAATTAGTGTAAATTACATTTGATAAACATTTGAGTTTTTTCTTCTTGTGTTTTACACTAAAATAACAAATAACGAGTTAGGTGAGTTAGAGTTTATCGATTACAAAATCACGGAGGCATTCATCACTGCTAATTTATAATGCTAGTAGCACTATATATATATATATATTTTTATCTTATGTTTTTGTTTTTCTCTAATGAAATAGACTCAGAATTGGCAAGCGCTAAATGWTTTTTTTCTTATCCTGCGATTCCTGCCTATCCCTGCTTTTTAGTTTTATATCGGGAAAGTCGGGATTATCGGGAATTTTTCAAAATGAAGCAGAGTGTTTACATAACTCATTTCTATCGGTTGCTACGGCAACATTGACTTTTCCCATGTGCTTTAATCAGTAATCACACCATGCTAAACTCGAACGGACAAGACATGTTGATTTTAATCCTCCTAGCTCTTCTT